TAGAGCAGACGCACCCAGCGGCCGAACTCGCGGTCGCGGGTCTCTGCAGGCGCGCGCAGCTGCAGGTAGAAGGCACGACCTGTGCGGAACTTGACCTTGAGCTGCTGGCGGCTCTCATCGTGCACGAACAGCTGCACGAATTGCAAAGGGAACAGCCTGGCCGGGGGGGTGGGGGGACGACACGACGACACGGCTCAGTTGCTGCCTCTTGCATCTCCTCCTGTTTCTAGCCCTATCGTGATCCCTGCGGGGACTCCCAGTTTTGAATAGGCCTACGGTGGCCCTCTCTCTCATCCTGGTCCTGTCCTACTGCCAAGTCCTAACAGCGGTACCTTCACCTGAGCCCCATCAGGCCACCAGAGGGCCATGCTTCGCATCTTAGCTTAGCCCACCCCAAGTCAAGGCTGGGTCCTCCCTGTGAACCGGAGGCTCCTGCTTGGGGAGGTCTCCTCTGGCCTCTTTACAATGACGATCACCCCGTGTGACAGTTCTCCATCTATGCTGTTCCCTTCGCCAGTGCCTACAATGTGAGCTCCCTGGATTCTGAACTCTGGCCTGATTCTGCCCAGTCCTTTTTCCTAATATGGTAAACCACTGAAAGGGTGCTTGTGAATATTTGAATAAACAAATTGCTCAAGCTTTCAGCTAGATTCAAGGTCCAACAAAGGAAAGGAAGATACAGTCCCGAGAGACTGAGTTATCTGGCCCAGGCCACACAGCAGGGGGTGGAAACAAGTTCATAACCCTGGGGTTTGTTAGCTACAGCAAGCAGTAGCCCTGGCCTGGTCACACTGCCTCCTCATTCCTGTGCACACAAATACACATAACATACACATGCCCCGTGTTACACAGTGACCCCAAGACACTGGACAAAACCTGTGTCCTTCAGTGGACAATGGATGTCCCCTAAGTGTAACAGCATTTGACGACATTCACACACTGCTCACACTGTGCCAGGTGCTTCATGCAATACAAATAGGAAGGACTGCCCCCCCTCGCCCCCAGGACAGAGGAGACAATGAGGTTTGATACCAAGCTCTGGGATTGCTGATGTTTTCAACAATGTCCCAGCCACAGGGACAAGTCGGACAAATCAAGTTGGCTCAGCCTGGATCCAGAAGTAGCCTGGAGTAGGGGTGGGGCTACTTGCTAACAGGGTTTGTTAGCTGGTGTGGAACTGGTTGTGTCATTGAGCCTGGCCCTGAACTTCTGATCCTCCTGCCTCCACCTCCTGAGTGCTGGGATTACAGACAGTTTTTCACCACTTTGTTGGCTGCAGGCAGGAGAGGACAGGGTCAGAGGGACCCTAAGCTTGCATTTAATATGCCAACACTGTTGCTGTAAGCAGTGCAGTTTACTAGGGCAGAAAACTGCTTTGAGTAATGTTCTCCATTAGTCAAAGGGATAATTGGGTGAATTCAGGCACATTTTCCCCCTTTCTGCTTTTTTTGAGACAAGGTCTCGTATAGCTCTGGCTAACTGAAACTTGTAGGCCAGGCTGTCCGCCCCTGCCTCTCAAGTGCTATGATTAAAGATGTGAACCACCATGTCCAGCTGAAGTCTTTCTCTTCTTCCCTCCTCCCTTCCTTCCTTGCGCATGCCCGGCAAATTAACTATCCAGCTCAAGTCCTCTTTAGGAGTGACTTGCACACATACACGCCAGTGTGGTGGCCATAGGGTAATGTTAACTGTGTTCCTCCATCACTCTCCCACCTCAGCTTTGGAGACAGGATTTCTCACTGGACCTGGACTGGAATGTTTGGGTAGACTGACTGGCCAGCAGGCCCCAAGGATCCTCGTCTCTGTCTTTCCCAATACTGGGATTACCATGGGACCTGACTTAATTTTTTTTTTTGGTTTTCAAGACAGAGTTGTTCTGTGTAACAGCCCTGGCTGTCCTAAAACTCACAGAAATCCACCTACCTCTGCCTCCCAAGTGCGGGGATTAAAGCTACGTGCCACCACACCCAGCTGCTACTTGGCTTTTTACATGGCTGTTGGGGATTCAAACTCAGATCCTCATGCTTGGCCTGCAAACACTTTACTGACCAAGTCATCTCCCCCGCCCCCCAGTATCCCCTTTTTACTTTTTATCTTAAGACAAAGGTCTCTCCAAGCAGAAAAACAAAACAAAACAAAGCAAAACACCCACAAAGATCTCACTAAGTTGTTCAGGCTGGCCTGGAAGCCACTCTTTTAACTCAAGCTGGCCTTAAACTTGTAATCCTCCCGCCTCAGCCTCATAAGTAATTGGGATGACAGGCTTGCACCATTAGGCTTGGCCTTTTTCTAATTTACTCCCTGTCTTTCGTGAACTGAGGAAGAATGGGAAAGGATGCAGGTCCCACAGGAATACCAGAGTGTGCAAATGTACTACAAGCATGTTTATAACTGAACCAGGGCAGGGGCCTAGGCAGGGAAAGGGGTGTTCTGAGTGTGAGGTTTGTACATGGTGGTACTTGATTTTCACATGTGAAGTTTTCAATGTGAGGAGCAGAGCGTAACAGTGGACTCGAACTCAGTTTGAACTTTGGGATCAGAATTGTGAGGGGCCTCAGGTTCTACTCCCAGTTCCTGGCCTACTCTGTGGGACCCTGGGCCTTGGGCCCCGGCTCTGAGCTTTACTTTATCTCTCTGGGACAATGAAGCACCAGGAAAGCAGAAAGCATTGTGTAAACTGTCACCATTCTGACCCTGTGGTGTCACTGAGGACTGTCCTTCCTCATCTTGCCTGACTTGTGACTTTTGGCAACGTCCCTGTCATCTTTCTGAGTGGAGATGCCTGGTTCCCAAAGGTTGGGTAGCAGAATGGTGGTTTTAAGGTTGGAGGAGGTTGGGGCCAGGAAGGGCAGTCACCCGAGGAGCTGTAGGCGTCCACTCTCCTTGTCAGGGCCAGCCAGCAGCAGCAGGTCTGGCAGCTCCAGGGCTGGACTAGAGGCTGCCACCCCCATGGTAACCTTGTTGGCGACTTCTCCAAACCGTGTCACCTGGGGTCAGAGGTTAGAGGCAGGATAGATGGAGAATAGAATTGAACAGGGATCTGGTGGGTGCTAGGAATCTTGACAGGGTCATGAACTAGGGGAGTTGAAAGCAGGTTGGGGGCTGGGAATGTGGCTCAGTATATAGCACCTGCCTAGTGCGGGACTGGGGGGTAGCTAAGTGGTAGAGCTCCTGCCTAGCATGAGGGAAGCCCTGGGTACCATCCACAGTATCACAGGAGAAAAAAAAAAGTTGTTGGCCAGATATTTTAGGATTAAAGGATAAGAACCATATGTGTGTGCAGTCAATGAAACTGAGACAAAAGCTTCTGAAGCCACAAATAAGCCAAAGGATTGGCGATGCGAGGTGGGAGGGTTCAGGGGTTCTGTGGAACACTTGGAGTTGGACAGGGCGGTGGGTCTCGGGGGGCTAGCCACAGTTCGCAGAGCAGGGGCTCCGCACAGCAAAGGGGGGTCGGTCCGGGGGCTCCACACCTGCACGAAGTTGCTCTCAAAGATGGGGAAGTCGCGCAGCTGGTCGAACTCGCCGCTCAGGAGGTGACGCTGGAGGCGCCCGGGGCGGCAGGGGGCGTAGGCTGGAACCAGGGGGCGGTCTGCAGGGGCGAAGAACTGGCATCCACCCCAGGAGGCCAGGTACGCGTCCCCCGACAGGGGGCGCACGCGAGGCAGCGGCCTCCGCATGGCGGGCCCCATGCCTTCCCGGGTTCCCTCACCAGGGCCAACCCCTCCGGGCCAGGCTCCTCCTCTCACCTGCCATCCCATCTGAACCGGCCTCACCAGCTCCGCCGGGGGCCGGCTTGAGATCGCGCCCGCCCTTCATCGCCACGCCCCGGCCCTGGGTGGGAACGCAGGGTGGAGCCAAGGCCGGAGAGATAAGAGGCGAGAGGGGGTCC